TATTAAAAAAAAAAAAAAAAAAAAAAAGTATATCAACGAATTCATAATTATTAAAAAGTTAAAAATTTTATATTGTTAATAATATAAATAAAGAAAAAATGACAATATTACATAATGAAGGGTGTGGATGTAAAAGTTCTGATGAAGTATTAAAAGGAGGAGAATTTTTATTAAAATATATAAATCTTGAAAAAGTTACAGCATTAAATGAAAAAGTAATACATTTTATAATTAAAATTTTTTATTTTATGAAATGTCTTATTCTTTTTATTATTTTTTTCTTTAATATATTTTATTTTTCTTTTTGTATATAAGTTAGATACATGGATCATGTAGAAAAATTTTAAAATCTTATGATAACAGGTTATCTGTAGATCATTGTGAAAGTGATGTTGATCATGAATTGGTAATGAAAAGAGAAAATAGAATTAGACAAATATAAAAATTTGATTTTTTGAAAATTTTTTTTTTTTAATATTATCTTTTTTTTTTTTTTTTTTTTTTTTTTGTAGATAATAAATATTCCTTTTACAAGTCCATGTAAAGTAATAAATAATTATTTAATAAATTTATATATATAATAATGAAATCAATTTATATAATTAATATAAATAAATAATTTTTAATTTAAAATACAAAAATATTATTTAAAATAAATTATATATATATATGTGAACTTATTTTAAGATTGTTAGTTTGTTCTTAATTGGTGGAGAAGAAGGAAGTTATCCAAGAAAAATGAAAATTTTTTCTAATAGAGAAGACATTGATTTTGAAAAGTAGCAAAAAAAAAAAAAAATAATAAAATAAAAAAATAAAAAAATAAAAAAATCTTTTTTCTTCTTTATTATATATATATTAAAAAATTATAATAATTATTTAAAATTTTTTTTTTTTTTTTTTTATAGTATTAATGATTTCAAATGTATTCAAGAATTAGAATTATCACAGGATTATCATGGATCAGTTGAATATCCATTAAAAGTATTTGAATTTTATTAGTTACCAATTTTATTAATAATATATATATTTATATAAATATTTTTTTTTTTTCAGGTAACTTCTTTATTTAATGTAAATTATTTGACTCTCTATTTTTCAGAAAATTATGGATCGGAATCAACAAAAATATTTTATATAGGTATGCACTTGATATATGTTTTGAAGTTTTTTTTTTTTATATTTTTATTCATTTAGATATATTTATTTTTTTTATTTCAAGGTCTTAAAGGTGTTGGAACTAATTATACAAGAAAACCAGTTGAAACTGTTAAATATTTTTATTTTAATTTATTAATATTTCTGTTTTTTTTTTTATCTTTAATTATTTACATTTTTATTTTTTTAGGTTTATGAAGCATCACCAAATTTAGCTGATCATAAAATTGAAGGAAACGTAAATTCAACACATTTCTCATTCGATGCCTTTTAAGTGTGTTAATTCAAATAATTAAAAAAAATAAATATATAAATAAGGTTAATTATTTATATATTCTTATTTGCCTTACTTTTGTTAAAGAGTTTTTTAAGAAAAGTTTTTTTTTTTTTTTTTTTTTTTTTATAATAAAATAATTTTCATATATTTATAAAATAACATAAAAATATTAATTTTTTTAAAAAATTTATAAATAATTTATAGGATTGTATATTATTATAAAAAATTGTATGCTTTCAAAAAAAATTTTATCCTTTTCTTTTTTTTTTTTTTTTATATTATTATTATTATTATTTTAAAAAATAAATAAATTATTTATAATAATAATGTAACATTATTTTTTCTTTTTAATAAATATTAATAATGCTAAGATTTAATTTGATATTTTTCTTAAAATTTTTTTTCTTTTTTTATTTGGTTAAAGATTGTACGAATAAAAAACTTGAAAGAAGCATTACTAATAAATATAATTGTTTTTTTTTTTTTTTTAAAATAAATAATACACCTTTTTTTAAGAAAAAACTTAATAATACTAAAAAAAATTTATTAAAAGCCCGTAAAATAGATCAGAAAAAGATAAAAAGGATAAAGAATTATCAGTATGCAATAAAGCATATGTATGATAAAAACGGAAAAAGAATAAAACAAATTAATAAAGAAAAAAAATCATTAAAAAAAAAAAAATTATTTGATTATGAAGGATTTAAAGTAGATAAAATATTCACATGCTTAAGTGAAGAAGATATGGAAGAATTACGAGAAGAAGAATTAAAAAGAAAGTCTGGTGAAATTTTGTATAACAATAAGTATATAGATAATTATGGAGTAGAATCAGAGAATGATATAAATGAAGTATAAAAAAAAAAATTTTAAGATATAAGATAAAAGAAAAAAAATTTTCTATTTAATATTTATAAAAGAAAACGTAAGGAAAAAAAAAAAAAAAAAAAAAAAATATAGTTTCTAATAGAATTTTAAAAATAAAAAATTGTAAAAAAATATTATTAAATACTTTTAGAAAATGTAGTAATTGAATGTCTACACATTTATGAATATTTTTTTTTTTTTATTTTTTAGTATAAAAATTTAATATTTTAGTTTTTATTTTTATTATTTTTTTATATATATTTCTATTTTTATATATATGCTTTTATTATTTTTTTTTTTTTTTAATAAGTTTATAATTAAAATTACATGTATATATATATATATATATTTTATTAAAAAAAATAATGAATAACTTTTTAGCAAAAATAATATTTCTTATATATATTATTTGTATAGCAAATGTAAGTATTATAAAAATAGCAATCACAGATTGCAAAAAGTTGAAAAAAATTAATTACAAAAATTACTATAAAAATCATTACAAATATAATTATAATAATAAAAAAAATATATTCTTAAGAATAAAAAATCCTTTCTTTTCGATTCAAAAATTAAAAACTAACAGAAATTTACATTCCTTCATAAATATAAAAAGCTGGAAAGAAGATTTAAAACATTTTTTACATAAATATGGTATTTATAATAATCAAAATATTCACCCTTTAAAAAATTGCTTATGGGAAATAACTATATATAATTTTTTTTTACAAAAACAAAAATCTTTTTTCATATATATTTTTGAAGATGGAAATTTAAAGACATCAGAAAATTTATATGGAAAATGGAGTTATAATAATTATTACATTACTTGGTATATTGAAGAGAAAAATAAAAAGGTTTATTATACAGCTGAGGTAAAAAATAAATTTTGTTTATTTTTTTTTTTTTTTTCACTTAAATTGAAATACATATTTATTATATATGTAAAATATATTTATATATATATATATATATATATATATATATATCATATAATTGTATAAATATTTTTACATTTATACCTTTTCGTCATTTTTAATAAAAGACTTATGTAGATTTTTATTTATTTATTTATTTTTTTTTTTTTTTTAATTTGTAGCTCTTGTGGAATTATGAAAATAGTAAAATGGTAAAGGGAATAATTTATGAAGAAAAAAAAAAGACAAGTTCTTTTTTACCTTCAAGTATATTTAGAAAAATTATAGGATCTTTTGAAGGAAAAATAAACAGTTAAAATTTTTAAATAATGTTTTCATTTTAAAATTTTTTTAAATTAAAAAATATTAAGAACAAAATAATTTTAATAATATTTAAAAAAAAAAAAAAAAATTAAAAAATAAAACATTTTTTAAATATACATACAACATAAAATGAAATACAAATAATTAGGGGAATTCATTTTTTTTTTAAAATAAAAATGATAGTTTGTATTACTTTTCTAATCAATTGTAAAATCAGATTAACAAAAAATCTTCTAGTTGCAATAGAAAGAATACCATAAAAATAATTTAAAATATATTTTGTTACATTATTTTGTTTATAATCTTTTATCGTTCTATTAAATATTTTGTTATTATATGCACTATTCCTATTATTTATATTGTTCAAATTATATAAATTGTTTTTTAAAAAATCAAAGTCAAAGAAGTCTTCAAATTCTATTAAAAAATAAGAAAATGGATCAATATTAAAAAAAATTTTAATTCAAAAAAAAAAAAAAAAAAGAAAAAAAAAAATTAAAAAATTAAA